TCACTTGGATATCTGAATATGTGAGGATAAGACAAAGTTAACCTGAATAATGAGTGGTGCATTTGCTCAATATGACACTTCGGAATATCACACATTTACTTGTCAAATTAATTAATATAAAACTGAGGAACGAATAGGAGGGCGAATAGAATAATTAAGATAATTTTAGTTTAAAATTAAGAAAGATGCGAACAAAAAGTAAGAATGACATAGTTTATCCTAATCTTAGTAAGAAAACGGAGTTTATCAACGTAAGTGTAGTGTAAGAACTAGTCGGCTGTCTCTTTGGTAAACCTTAGTATGTATCGCTGACTGTTTCTCTAAAAAACTTTGAAAGCTGCCTGAACAATAGTTTTGTGGTCCACTTGTATAATACGTCTAACTATAGATGAGCAGGGTCGTCTCCTATCTGCGCCTATCAAAGTTTCACACCGTCTGTTTTCGAAGCCATTTACGTACATATACTCCTACCCGCAACTGTATGACTCTATTACTTCTCCGTTTGTATGTGTGGCCACACACACACACACACGCATGTAAACTGTTAAACACAGTGCGATGTGACATAATGATTGATGCAGTGTTTAGGCTTATGATGAAGCATTTGTTTTGTTCTTTCCACAATAATATGCTTAGTTGCGTAGTAGGTTTTTCTAATGGCTGATGTTAAGTAACGTCTCATAATTAAACTATTCAATTCCCCTCTCTATGATAGGCTGATATGGACGCTTGCCTTAGGAACTATTTATAGAGTTGACTTTGGTGCTACCTAACTTCTACAACGATTAATACAGTTCAACAGATATCTATTTTCCATGAGTGCTTTGTTCACTAATTTGATATCTTCATCTATCGTATCTGACGTACAGATATATTCAGCCATGTCGTTCTTCCTTTCTGTTCTCATCTTTTTTTAAAATTCAGTCCCTGATTGTTTTATTCCCTTTTATATTAATTGACTTGACAATTAAATGTGTTATCAGGCTGTTCCAATTGTTATATTGCACAAATACATCACACACGTTGTCCAGATAAACTTTGTCCTCTATTTTATTTATTTATTTTTCCCTTGGGTTCCTAGTAGAACATAGGGCTTCAGCAGCACGCTTCCATTGCACTCTGTTCTCTGCAGTCTTTTTTTTGAACCTTGCTCCATGACTACCCAGAAGCTTTCATTTCCTTCCATGTTACCCTCGGACCCCCAACTTATCGTTTGCCGTTTGGCTTGGGTGCTTGGCCTGGCGCGTGATGTCCCCAATCAGCCTTCTCAGTGTATGCCCAATCCATCTCCACCTTCTTCTGCATATTTGTTGGGTGATAGGTTCTTGGTTGGTTCGTCACCAGCCAACCAGAGTTCGTTGTTGCTTATTCTTATTATTCTGGTCATCTGATCTCTATCTTCCGTAGGCAGCTGTTGGTGAATTTCTGTAGTTTGTTGGAAATGGTTTTCGTGACACTCCAAGTTTCTAAACCATACAGAAGCACTGACTTGACTGGATTGGTGTTAAAAATCCAGATCTTATTCTTTGTGCTGAGTGGAGCGCAGTAGATCTCCACACCTTTCAGATTAGTGAAAGCCTGTCTTGCTGTCTTTCCGATCGTGGTTTTGACATCCTCATCTGTGCCACCGCCGCCAGTAGTTGAAACGATGCTGCCTGCCTAGGTGGGTGAAAAATACAACTTAGTTTAGGTTTCTCCCGTGAATGGTGATTGATGCTTGTTGTTGTTGGTTGAGTATTTTCATCACCTCTGTCTTCCTTACGTTCGCTTGAAGTCTCTTCTTCTCTGCCTCTTCCTCCAACTTGTTAGTTTTCGCCTGTAGATCTTCGAGTTTGCGCGACATTAGACACAAATCATCAGCGAAATCCGAATTTTCTAGGGTCTTTTCATCTGTCCAGCATATGCTCATCTTCTCGCTCTTCACGGTTTGCTGCGTGATCCAATCCACTGTCTTCTATTTACACTATCTAAATTCATAAGAAGGACCAATTTTTTAAAGTTTCAATATATCGTTGAGAAAGGAAAGAATTACATCGAATTTTGATGAAGATAATATTTTCAATCATTTTCAACATCGAAAATTGATTTTTTTTTAACTTTAGATATTTTGTGAAGATTGTATTGTCAATAAAAACGTGTAATGGATTGTGTGGTTGACGTATTCTTCTTTGTTTATCGTATTGGGTTGATGAAATCACCAATAACACGTTATTTATCGCTATTTTCGACAGAATCATGAGTTGCTTAGCTGTATTCTTCTAAGTAATTACAACTGATGCACTAACAGCTGTGATAAATGGGTCCCCATTACTGGTAATGTTGAAGTACAGTAATGTGTACTGAAAAACCATATAGGAAATCAATAACAGATTTGATGATCTCATGGTCATGTAACTATAAAAATCGACAAACTCTTAGTAAAATTTAGTAATGATTTTAATACAAATCTATCCAATCAGACAAACAGATAAGATCAATGTATGGGGGAATAAGAAATCTGAAGATAAAGGTTATTAAGAATATTTCAGGCTTTAGAAGCTATCAAAAAGTAAATAGATCTGCACCGCTGTGATCGATTTTCAGCCGTATCTCCAACTATTGATTTCTGTTGTCTCGGGAACCTCAACTAGGCAGTCTGTAACACCCCATACGATTCATATGAGCAGTATGAGACTTCATGGACTGGTGTCATGTCTCAGTCTGGCCACCCTGAACTCTCTTTCAACCTAATCAAACTTCCCCTAACATAGCACGTCGTGGTAGGCGGTAGCTCGGCATGCTCAGTACATGTCCAAGCCATCTCAGTCGGTTAAGGTCAATAACCTCACGAATCAACTGGCCAGTCTTACCTAGTACCCTTCACCTGATTGCGACATTGCTCACACTGTGATTCAACCAAACGCGAGCAATGCTGCGAAGTCGGCTATGATCAGAACCCTAAAACTGCCTCATATCTCCTACTCGCACACAGCCGTATAACAGGACAAAACAGACTGCAGTGGCGCAGCGTATTCGTCTTTTAACAGATATTCGAATATCTTGCCAGTGAACATCACAGGTGATACACGTTGGCAAATGCCAAACGGGCCTTCTGTATCATCAACCACGCCAATCAGGTTGATGCAACTTTCTAATTAAGTGAAGTGGTCAACGCATTCCCCCATTTCACTCCCTACCCCTAGATTAGGAGTGGTTGCAGACCGGTCCTAGAGCATCGTCTTGCATTTGACAGGTGCGAAACGCATGTCGAACATAGTCAGATTTCTGCTCAATGCGTTCAGGAGACCCTGCATTTTGTCAGCGTTTCCACTTAGCAGAACAATGTCATCTGCATACTTGAAGTCAACCAGATGATCTGAAGGGAGTAGATCAATCCGTGTGAAATCTGACGTATCCAAGTTGATGTCCAATAATTAATTTTTATATACAAGTTAGGAGCCTTACTTGCTATTGCAAGGGCTTACAGTACTACTGTCCGGTTGCCCAGGTCAGCATTAGTAGCGCCGGATGATGGAATCCAAACATAATTGTGATGGGCAACTTAGGCCAACAGAGACAAATTCTTTCCCACCCACTAATAAATCATAGACGTTAATGAATCTGAGATAAGTCATTTGAGGAAGAACATTGTCGACAGACGAGTAGAAGGAAAATACCTCATAGATAATTTTGGTTAGATGAAGGTAACCTGTAGGCAGCTCTTCTCCACACAGGTTTCATGCTTTTTGGTATTGATCAACAAGGCGTATCTGCACCCTCGATGTAAGTGAAGTCTCGTCTAAGATTCAAACCCGCGTCACCCGGTGCTACAGCCAGAGATATTACTAGTGATGTATTGAACTGCGGCACTGTGTTTCGGGGATTCGAGTATCACGTGGGATATCATTTTCATTGAGATTGGAGATTCGACTTGCTAACGAGTGACAAAAAGCACGAAACCTAGTTGGAAAAGGATTTCCTGTCGATTGTCTACATCCAACTAAGACTCATCTCAATGCATCTTGATGCTAAGTCCCCTAGTCTGGTGGCCACATCGTAAAGTGGTCGGTAGAATTCAATGAGCACATAGAACTGGACAAAATGAAGTCGGTTATACTCCAGTGGACCAATCAATATGTGAAGGCAATTCTTTTTTGTGTCGGAATCTGGGAAGTGTTTGCAGGCTTAGAAAAGATAGACAGGATAGTCCTCAATTTTCCAGACAATGCGATTCTGATTCCGACAGGACTTGTAGGCAGTTTGAATTATATTAAAAGGAAGCGGGGAGAAACAGGCTGGTTATATCGTAGTGTAAAAGATAGTAAATTGAAAGAAGGCGCTGTAGTATGTTAATGATGCGATACAAACAGTTTATCATTCCTTTAGTTAACCTTTTTAATAATGTGAACCTCATTAGTAAATGACACTGCAAAGCGCGGCCGCACTGAGTACCGCGCAAGGTCACTGCACATATTTGTTCGAATCAAATCCTATTCTATGCATAGAAATGTCGCTTTTTCTCCCAAGATTGACAGCAATATTGTGAAGATATGTTTTTGTAAGAAATACATTGAATGGTAAAAGTATTCTAATTTTGCTCATCCTTTTTGAAACTTTTGTTTTTGCTTTGAGTTGAAAATTTCCCCACCATTGACCTGTATGCTTAATGCTATCAACTTTAAAAATTGCTTTCAACGTTTATTGTGATTTGTTTCTTCGATAACATACGCTACTTAAAGAGTAATAAATAACCTTAACGTTTGATTCAGAGTCAACGTTGCACGTGTGTGTTTGTCTCATCAAATCTTCTCATTGCTTTCCTCCTCTCTGATTGGCTTATTGTCTCTCCAGGGTCTTGTACAAAGGTCAGTGAGAGACAGCTAGGAATGGTGTAAACGCGTAAATGAAACATACCTTTATTTCTTTTTCTTAAAAGGCTGCATACTATCCTGTTGTTAGAGAAAACGTTGAGTTAACTACTCTCTTCGATTACTGTTTATTCCATTTTGTGTTTACAAGTTCACCATGGGAGCAATTGTTGATAACAGTAAGCAAATAAGGTCGATAAGTTTTCTTGTTTCTGATTGGCTGTAAATTAGTTGACCAATAAGAATTTAGCCAATAGTTGTTCTCTCTTCCCTTCAGTTCTAATACTGCATTTAATCGGAATATAAGCTATCTGTGAAAAACTAAATTTGTCAACAACCTCTACTTAGACAAAATAAAAATGAAACTACTCTTGGCAACTTTCATACTTTTAATAGCCTTAATGAGTCGATTAGCTGTTGTACCGAACGGAAAGATTGGTGAGAAAGAAGCTGTTGTTTCATTGTCCGCAAGTGAATGCTATCAACGTGTAACGGATACTCAGACATATCCACGTGTAAGTCTTGACTTCTCAGTGTATATAAGCCATACTAATACTAGTTCTGTTGCGGTTTTATCTTATTCTTTACCACTATTAGTTAGATTGTTTTCTAAATGGTAATTTCTTCTTGTTGAGACCAACTGAGACAGTTGCAGTTTAGCATACTAAACTAGCTATCTGGCGTTGTACGAACTGAGCTACAGGTGCTAGGTGCTGATAAGATTTTAACTTCACTACAATTACCGAAAGTTTTGTCTGGCTACCGTGTGAAGGCGAATGAATAAGAAGGCTCGCCTGAGAAGTTAATGTCGTGGCGATGAGTGAAACGGATAATTACGTATCACGTATTCACATGACAAGTAAAAAAACCTTCCGTTAACTAAGTTTGAGATGTAGGCAAGAACAGGATCTTGTACCTCAGATAGTAGATCGTCGTGCCGGTAACCGAGAGGTACACTGGTTCAGATTCTGTCTCAGTCCGTCGTTGGTCATCACCTCGTAGCAGTAATTTACTCATATTTTGAACGGAATCCGTTCTGAATTCTTTGCTCAATCACAAATAATTAGGATAAAGGGTTTTTCTTCATCTGTTACACACAGTTGTTTTGTAACGATACGCTTTCGTCTAGCCTGTAGATTGGTACGTTGTTGCAGGAGTCACGTAGGGCAGTCTGAGTTTGGTAGTGACCACGAGAATCTGAAAGAGAAAAAGATGAGTTGACGACTCAGCAAGTACACAGGATGTACTTACATTTAGTAATAAAAGATAACAGACAAACGGTAGAGCTCGACAACGAGGAGGTGAGACAGTCTAGAAATCGAAATTAAAAGATGAATGAGTAAGATTTCGAATGCGTTACAGTTTCATTGGTTTCGACTGAGAGTTATTTCACTGAGTTTTATCTCAGTAATTCAGTTGTCATGCTGCTCAACGTTTGATCGGAATGACTTTTATGATCAGATTAAGTGTTTGCAAAATAATCAATCTGTAATGAGTATGATACAATAAGTGGAGATCTTATTGTGATTGATTTAGATCTACCTGATTATTATGAATCCTCTATTGAGCCAATGTCTTCTGGTACTTCACGTCTCTATGGATGCTGTACATGGAACGGCACGACTGACTAAAGGACTTTAAAACACAACTACATGTTATTTAGAATTGAGACCGATGTCGATCCTAATGTAGTTTTCTTGTGTTTTTTCCTTTGAATAAAAAGGTGACAACTCTTTATATGTACGCGTTATTCAACTGTTTCATCTTCTCTGAACATTCTATCCTCTTTGGCCCCTTTCTCATTTCCATTGTATCTTCATAATATTGTTACATTATGTGATATGACGTATTTCCTCTTACATTTCTTGGTAATTAGTTCGTTGAAAGACAAAACGAGGTTTCTATGTAGCTGTTTTTTTGAAAAGGGAACGTGAATTCATCGGATTATACTGTCATTAATATTATTTATGTCGGTTCATAGTCATACGGACACGACTTATTACGTAAGAGTAAAGATGTAAGGTTGTTTTGCATGTTTTTTTCCTTCTAAATTGACTTCCTTTTCAGTAGATAAATATCGTGAGACTTTGGCTGTGTTCATAGATAACTCTTGTTAAATAAGCTTGCTATTGCTTATACTTAGCCATGGATTACAAAGTGGCCGTATTCTTGTTTTTTTTTCCAAAGGAAACAGTATATAGGCGCTCCACTTCATTGCTTAGTAAAACTGGCTTGTTTCAAAGTTCGGTACTTTCTCCTCTTGTGTTTTCATTCTTTTTCCACGATTTACCTTATTCTGTTAAAACTAATTTTGTGAAGTATGCTGATGACTTGACGGTATCTGTTCCAGTTAACTGTCACTTAGATTGCTCTCAATGGATTCTTGTATGTAATTAACCAATGATCTCTGTCAAGTGGTCTCAAGTCAAACTCTTCTAAATATTAGACTGTTAGTTTTAGCCTCAGGCGTAAACAAGACTTGTGTGAGCTGCGTAATTTGCCTGGTGCCTGCTGCATTGACGGTATTTCTACAGAAAGCAAATCAAGCGTTAACTATCTTGGATTGAGATTTACTTCTGATCTTTCTTGGTTGTCCCATATTTTGTTGACTTGTAAAAAAATCTTTCGTTTAACGTATTTCATGAAGAAATTGAAGCTTTCTGATATAACTCAACTTCTACTTTTACAACTTATTAATTCCTGAAACTTATATATTCTTCTCTGTTGATCCGCGTTGATCTGGTTTACTGAAACAGGACTATGCTATACTGCGTAGGACTTTGGAGGCCGTCAGTACGGTGAGTGGTGTCCCTGTGACCCGAATGATTAACACTGTAGTTGACAGAAATTTAAATTCTACCAATCAACTAGCTACAGTAATTTTAACTGACACCGAGCATTCATAGCTCTCTCCTTGTATCTCCACGGGGAGGACAAGAAGAAACCACATATTGGTGGAGAATATTTATAGGTCACGTGGATGGTCTTGGTTGTATTGTGTTCTTTGAGCTGGGTTGTTTAATCGTAGAGCTTTCATCGTTCTCCTAGACGAGATCTTCGTCACTAACTTCAGTATGAAGTAGTGAGCTGTCAATATCTTTCCATGAGTGATTTAGTAGCTTGGCCTGACGAGTTGGTTTGTGAAACAACCAATCATAAACCAACTCGTCAGGCCAAGCTACTAAATCACTCATGGAAAGATATTGACAGCTCACTACTTCATACTGAAGTTAGTGATGAAGATCTCGTCTAGGAGAACGATGAAAGCTCCACGATTAAACAACCCAGCTCAGAGAACACAATACAAGTAAGAAACTACATAAGACTGTACGCTCGTACAGCTAAGTAGAAGAATTCTACTATACCTTACCTAGCACTTATATCACGTGAGGGAGAGGGTGTTAGAACAGAACTCACGTATCAACTTTGTAACAGTCCAGAAACTCATTTCAATAATTTAATTACCAATGTAAAGTTTTCTCGTTTTTAATATGCTTTACATTACATAAATTCTTATAATAACACTATTTGCGGTGTAAAGAAGTGTATACCAACATATGTATTGTTGTTGTCCCAATATATCATGCTGAGGATTTCAAATGTTGGAAAAGATTTGTAGCTCAGAATGAAAATGATACTGGTTTGTTGTTCCGTGAGCTTCTGTGTTTTGTCGTGAACGTCTCATTACATCACTCACTTCTTTATGAAGTTAGTACTGATGATGTTACTAAGCCTGGTGATGAAGTGTCCCCGACAGAATACCGAAGCTTAGAGAACATCGAAATACCATTGAACAAATGAATACCTGATCCAAAGTTACTAATCTGTAGCTCAATGAAATTACCACTGAACCTGGAGTCAATAAGTTGTTACCTTAAACAATCAACCAGTGTCATACCTCTCAAGCATTAGATCTGGTTCATCAGTTTAATTATATGATGGTCGTATTCTCTTTATGCTAGGCTTACGAATTTCTCTGGAAAAGCCAGCTGAACATCAAAAAATTAGAACAAATATTACTGTTATAATGAGGCATTGAGAACGAGATACTGTGTACTTTATTTTCTAACCCGCTAACATCCTGATAGTGTGGAATGCTGTTTTGTATGTCTCTTAAGAGAAGATCCATCCAATTTCACATCAGAAAATGAAGCTTTAGTGCACATAGACTTATTTATTCGACTTCCCCTCCCCCATACACTACCTAAACACATCTGGAAGCATTTAGAAACCCAGTTACTATAATTAGTCAGTGGAAATATAGCATTTTACCATCTTTGAGTGACTTCCAAAGGACGTTAAATCGACCAATCAAGTTGAAAGTGACTTCGAGGTCATTCTGGAAGTGCTTTGAATTATGTAAGGATGCCACTGCAAAATTTCGATGGTGATAGTTTCAATTAAATCTGAACGAGTTATTTCTTACATAGTAGTCTCGCATTATTTATAACTCCGTAAACGCTACGATTTATTCCCGAGCAAGTTAACGCAAAATTTCTAGAGTCCAACCAGATTAAACGAAATCTCCAAGTTAAGTCATGGAATACCAGCTACAGCAACCAGTAGGTCATCATTCCAGCGATGGTGTCTTTTACCTCCGCATGTAATTGTGTCTACAGATAAGACCGTGCCGAATACGATGGTTATTACATTAGGGAATCATTCTGTGAAATCCTCATTTGCATTAAAGAGCATGTAAGCTACACAATAAAAAACCTTAAGAAAGTACGATAAAACTGGAGAATATGCAAGTCAAATCTGCAATTGTTGTTCATATCATCTTTCATAACCACAAAATTAAAGTTGAAAACATCAGAATTATATTCGGAAAGGACTTCCTGACTACAACGAAAGACGGATAGCTGAGGCATTTCATATTCTGTTGAGTACTAATGTACTCAACAGAATGGAAGGTGTAACTGTTCAACTAAATTGAACAATACATAAGGAACAACATGTTGTATACACTAGGTACAAATAAAGTAAGTACGCGCTCAATAGAAAACTCATATTTCTCTTTCTCATAGCCTTTGCAACATTCATTCACACTCACATATGCACAGTTACACATTCACTTCATCATATTGACCTCCTACCCATTTCATTTCCATATGCATAGAGAAACAACTTGATGGGATCTCCTTTTTTTCCAAAAATTGTTCAAATATCCCTTGAAGAAACACATTCATGAAATCAGGAAACGCCAGGAATTTACATTTCTGTAGATCAGCCTGAGGGGTTTCTGACCACTCAGTTTATCCAGTAGTAGTATATTTCGCTAGTTTTAATGAGAATTTCTCGTCAGTGATCACACTAGGGAATCTTGACTGACAGGTGGTATCCAACGGAAATCCTGTTGACACCATAGTTGGGTGGCAGTTGAAAAACTTAGGCTGTGAGAAATGCTAATGTGGAGCTTGGAATTTGCGTATTGATCCGCCTAGTCAGTAACTTCATTGAGATCTTACAAATATATCTCCTTTATAAGTGATTTAGTAGCTGACTATCCATGCAGTTAGAAGCACTTTGGAATCGGGAATCAAATTCAAACTGATGAGAAGTCGCATACTAGGACGAAACTGCTGTCCAGTGCTCCCAGATTTTCAATGGTTCTCCAACTGATGTCAGTCCGTGATGAATGCTACCTCTAAATTAAAATCCCCATTCATCTCAAAAATAGATTACTGTATAGTCCTCATTAGTGAAATGCTTCCGGATAGATATCATGAAGTTCTAATGACAAGCTGTCACCTTTGGGGTCAATTAATCGGAAGGGAAGCGGATTCCATCTTAAGACTTTGGGTGATAATCGCGCTATATCGTGAATTGATAGAAGTTGGAAACTGTGAATGACTGGACTCCGGATCAGTGGTTGGATGATTAATGCGTTCGCCGTGAAACCGGAAGATCCTGAGTTCGGTCCCTAGCCGGGTCATGGGTGCGTACTGCTGAAGAATACTGTGGTAGGACGAAAGAGCGTCCGTTGCTCCCGTCTTTCCGGTAGTTTTTCAGACATCTTAATGCCAAGTTTATTTAATAAGCGAATCCATTGAATACTTAGGGAAATTAAAAAACCGTGGTACTGACTTGCAGCATTTACAAAATTGCTTGGAATCATAACTCCCTTGGTTCGAGTGTTTAGGTTGAGGCAGAGTTTCAGCTGAAACACCGTCATTTATTGCAATACAAATGTATATCCAACTCCTATTGGAGTAGACTGAGCTCCCTTGTACACTTTCTTGCAGTAGGTAGTGAGCTAATAACATCATCTAATTGCCCAAACTCTGGTGGGTAGAACGGGGTTCGGACCAGCAACCTTTTGCTCGAAAATCATCTCCCTAAATCGATTGGCCACAACTATAAAGGTGCAGGGGAAATGAACATACACATGAATAATAATCATACTGATACGCTCAAATATGATGAGTCCTGTGGCTAACAGCAATCTGTCGACTTTTTCAGTTGACAAAGTGACAATTTGTATCGAGAAACCTCCATTCTTTGTAAGATCAATTGATTGTGTTTTGATTTTTCCTTCTCCTATAGTGGATGCCTTCTGTTATATCAACGGAAAGTGAAAGGAAACCATTTTATGCCAGTATCGGTGGCGAATTTGTTTTGGTGATTGATTATGGATTTCTAGGTAATAATTTTTTTAATGCTTTTTTTATCATTCTGATATTCAATTCATGGAGTGTATTTCCCTCCTCATAAACTGAATCTGTCTTCATAATAATAATTAGTTAACCTATGAATCCACTTCTAAGACACCAGAATTTCATACATAAATAGAATTAGGGAGTAGTCCTAGTGTTTCGGAATCTCAAACCAACAGAATGCCTAGAAACTAATCATAGATCAGCACACTGACAGCGGTCTGTTCAATAAACAAGCTGAAATTTGACAATAATTAGTAGGTCTAAAAATTTCTGTCTAGTGGAAGAAGCAAAAATGATAGAGGAAAAGAAACATAAATGCAAAATGATTTGGGAAATTATGCCCTTCCACAGTCAGAAAGGCCGCACTCAAGGTCACAGGCAGGAAGTACCATCAACCTTAGAGAATCAAAACATAAGCACTATTGAATTTTGAAACTGTTGTCATATATACTTCAGTGGTATTTTTCTTACTGGATATAATGTTTTGAATCTCACTTAAAAATTAGAGAATGTAACAACAACGTTAGTCAAGTCAGAAATCTCCATGAAGACTATCATTAACTAAAGGCAAGTTATTAAACGGTTGAAACCATTCAAAAATATAACTGATGTTTGGAGTGAGCTTTTGAAACCTTGCCTCCACAAAACAACGTGCTTTTCAAACGAATTCACATATCATCTACTAACTGGTGGAATACGTGTTACCTAACTGACTACAAATCCTACACAATTGCTCTTTATTCAGTTCAACAAAGCTGTTGATGAAGTTCGGTGGACATTTTCATTGACCAAGATCTTTTTACCGTTTGACAAGTAAACAAGACTCAAAGTCAGCACAAACACTACCTGAACATTCATGTAACGAGTGAATGTACTTCACTTCTTTAAGTTTATATCATCAAGCCTGGAGTTGAAATATTCACAACAAAAAAGATTTCTGCTCAAAAAAATCACATTGTGGTCATTCTCATCCTGAGCTAAAAATCTTTTTCATTATTTTATTTGTTTCATATAGTTTTACACTTGTGTACTAATTAGACTAGGAGGACTCAAACCAGACTTAGGAGATGAAAATTGCCTGATTACAATTCAAAACTTTAAGAAATTAGTTATAATCCTGACAGTAATGATGGAGAATATTTATAACTCATGGTATGGATGTTGAAAAACTGAGTTGTTGTCTGATCTTGGATTCTGACTAGCACTTGTTCTAATATTTTCATCACGGTATTACTATTCCACTTTCTTGTGAAGCTTTGATGAAGGTGTTGAGTATGATAGTGAAACGTTTACCAGGTGAAATTCCAGCTCAGGGAACAGTTTAATTTGAACAATTCTGAGAGTATTCGGCTAAATGTTATTGATTTACATACGTGACATATAAAATAAATACAAGAAGTAGTTTGTTCTATCTATGTGAATAAGTCGGATATTGTTAGACGAGCTGTCAAATTACTCTGCCATTTAGTCAATTTTTAAACGGAATCAATAATGCTTCGTAACCTTTGTGATAAGCAGCTAACAGGTATTTGTAATGAGCTCATCTACAACAATTGAAATATTCCTGCTTATAACCCTGAAACTTCTGTCCACGGTTTTCTCGATTCATCTTCACCCAACTATTTTACTGTTACTAGTACTGATAGTTTCAATGTTTACTGACTCATAAAATGATACTTCGAACTGAATGTTATAGCCTAACTTAGAATGTTAAGAAAACTTTAAATGATAGAATTTATGAAGGCCTATTGGGTGTGACTTGTAGGGAATTGTCGTCTGACGGTGTGACTTTAAAATCATACTGACAACTCCTGAGATAATCAGTTGCATTTTTTTGTTTTACGAAAAACTATCTTTCCAGATGAAATTCAGTTTTTCGGATGTCCATTAGAGTCAATGATGTGCGTCTGAGATATTTCGAAATACTATTCCTCTCTATACATGTATTAATGAAAATAACCCTAGGTGTACTCCCGGATTGACTTACTTCCACGAAGGTATCTGGTTGACTCAGAAAGTGGAGACGATGTTGTCCTGTTATAGGCGGAATCTCCTGAACATATAGAATAGGAATTTGAGAATGTTTGGCATAGGTCTTAAATCTGTCGAATGTAATATGATTCTTTAGGACTGATCTGCAGATAGTTTCAGTTTAAAGATAGAGTGAAGTGGTTTAGCACGTTGACAACTTAATAAAAAGTGAATTGTTTCATCAACCCGAATGAGTTGGCTGATGAAAGTAGTTAATCAATAGTAGTAGATTCTAAAAGACTACAGGTACTTGATCACAGATGTCTTCGTGACATCGCTCACATAAGGTGGAATCACGATAGGAGTAGTGCTTCTAGCATCATCCGAAGTAGGACTAAGTTGAAAGAAAGTTCAATGTGACTGGATAGAGACGTGGCACAATTCGCTAAGGTCTCTCACTACTAGTTTCAGGCCGAGATTCGAGTCCCCATGACCATAAAAATCAGTGGTTTGAGACTCTTGGTTATATGGCTTCAAACTGGTCACAATGGTGTACAAGTACTCATCCTCTGATTTCTTAGAAAGTTTGAAAGTTTTCAGCCGCCTTCATTTTTCGAATTTTTTTCTCCTCCCATACTCCTTTGTCTACTTTGATGTCACTTTATCTCTACCTACTTGTTCTTTGGATGCTGCTAACTAAAACTTAAGTGCTGATCGAGTTGTTAGGGCGGTTGACATTTCCCGGCTGCCCATACCGTGGAAGGCTATTTCTTCTTAAGGTACCTGAAAGAGATTTGTGTGACCACAGAGCCCATCGGACATCTACTTGAGGCCTGTCACACACAGCCTTCTGAGTATGATTATTTTGAACTTTTGTATTTTTGGGGTCGGATGGTCGAAAGGAAACGACAAATGAACCAACACCACCGGCCCGGTAGACCGTGCGGCATGGTGGAATGTGTTATTTTTAGGGCCGACCTTTGATAACCCTCACCCCATTCCACTGAGAAGGCAGTATGGCACTGATGGTCATACCAGGGAAACACCTTACTGCTGTCATACCCCATCGAGCTAGCAACAGTACGACTTTGCCCTCAGACCCCCATCATCGTGTAGTAATTTACACCACGACGGTAACTGCTTTTCGTCTAACCACTATCTAACAGACCTTTCTGGTATGGTGGGACCTCGAGGGAACAAGTGTTCTACCAGCATGACTTGTTAGGTCATTGTTATATGCAAGCGCGACCACCACATCAAGGTAGCAGCTATCGGTCGGTGCTAACTAAAACTGGCGGATTTTGTCACCTACTTGTCAATTGGCTGTCGCAGAAATAACTACCTTTGTCAACTTACCTATTGTAGTTGATAATAAGAACACGACGATGAGGCGGATCTACTGAGAAGTAGACGCTTATGTTTTCTACAATAATTATCCAAAAAAGTCACTATGGTGATGATATGCTGCAAGTATATCGTCTGTTGTCGGTCATCACTAATATATCTTATTGAAATATTTTAGTAATCTATGGGATTGAGAATAATATCTATCTGGTGGAATAGGTAATTTACTCGGCCATAAAGGTCTATGCAAGTAAATTTTTACTTCATTTGATAATGTACATTTACGCGATACAGCAACTTCATCTTTTGTAAGGCATAGATAAAAATGAACCCATATTTTATATTGATGATTAATAGTAGATGTCAGTAGAGTTTAGGATATGCTTTTCATCCTGTTCCAGACTCATCATCTGAATGCACCTGTTCTCTCCGGGGGTTTTTGCTACTTCTAGCAGGACTCGAAGTCAGCACTCATGACTTCAAACGCCAAAGCACTTTTCGCTAAGTTGCTGAGTTGTGATGTTTACACCGAATGGAAACGAAATAGTGTGATATATTTCCTGTTGTAGAAATGTTTGAACAGAATTAATCGACACTGTTAGTAAATGAGCTCCTGTACGAACGTCTCGATATTGTCAGTTAAAATTATAGTATCAAGTTTATATCTGATGTGCATTTGAAGTAAAGCAGGAAAGTTTATTCATGATTGCCTTTAACAGTATATGAAATACATGTGCTCAAGCGGTAAGGAAGAAGACTGGCACCTGAGAACGATATCAATTGTGTTTTATTCTATGAGTTTGATGGTGTGAGGGCAACAGTTCTACACAGTATTTCTACCTAATTTCGCCTCTACTGATTAGAAGCTAATTATATACATCGCAGCAATCACGTATTATTAGGCTTTCTCTTATAGGTGGTGAAGAGGAACCTAGAGGAGCAACAGAGACTGTGTTGATTGAGAAACTGTAGTCCCTTCTGTCAAAAATTTTAACCCTCACGATAAAGTGACGTTCACAAATTTTCTACTTGTTCAGCATGTCAATGGGCAGTTTTATTACCCAATTTGTCTTCTCTCTCGATTATTCATTAGTCGATTGCTATTAATAACTGTGTTTCCTGTCGTTGGGCTATTTACTACTGATATACATTCTTATAAGTAGTGTTAACCAGCTTAGTAAGAAAACTTATGTGAATCAGTATTTATAACTTTCACTCTTCCTTTATGTTTACAGGAACTATTTCATATGATGCGCATATATTATCTGTAGAACCAAACAGTCGATTTACATTTATCCTAGATGACTGGTTAGAAACTAAATTTGATTTCTTCATATCTCCCATGGATAAAGAAAAATCGAGAATTAAATTAACTGTCATTTCGAATAAGCACAATTTATTTTATAATGTAAGTTACGTTAGTCATCTCCTATGCCACTTCATATTTGATGTTTTAAAAGTTTAGCTACTGATAAATTTGTAAGTAACTTAATCTTTTTTAACGAAATATTTCAGCTGCATAACTCATGAAGGGCGATTAACCTTAACGATCATCTAAATAATCACCAAAAGCTGGGAAAAACTAGCAAGTTGTTTAAGGCCACGGTAGAAAAAGTTACCGCGTAGATAATATCATTCTATGGTAATAGTTATACTAAGGATAATAATTTTTTGCGATGAGATAAACAGTGAGGATGGTTCTGATTGCTGGTGACTGATATACTCAAATATCTGAGTGTTTGTAAAATTCATAAGCTGTGTTCTGAAGATCACAGAAAATCTAGCCAGCCAGTGGGCTGATACACTGCATACACCTAACGTGCTGAGATTTATGAAAATACAACCTTTATCTGACGTCAACTTCTCGCTAATAGCCAAACATTTATAATACTATTCAGTCAAGTCTTGATCACAGTTCCTCTAAGCGTATTCTAAATGACCTAGTTGATTACAAAAATTACAGGGAAAACTCTCATCACTTATTATTTCCCCAAAAGCATATCATTTGACATCCATCTGTAGTCGTTATTGTTAACTGGTATTGGTGTTCATTATGTACTGACAACAGGTGAAGGAGCATTGAAGACCTGGAAGCATTGGAGAGTTGTTTCGTCTTAGCATAGGAATCCTCAGCAGCGCGTACCTATGACCCTACCAGTGGTCTAACCCGCGACCTTCAGGTTCCGTGGTCAGCACGATACCATTGTGCAATGGGTCCGGGACCCAATGGTCCATATTTCCAACTTCTGTCAGTTCACGATATAGCGTGACCATCATCCAATTTCATCGTTGAGTATTTGTCCCCATGGCCACCAGTTTTGTCATACCGGTTACGAATTCGCATTGGAACTTCGAAACTCTCGAAGCTAGTCACTAATGCGCACCAGATTAATTGAACTTGGGGGTTTGTAGGGATTTAGTGATTTTTCAAACTGGATTTCATCATGGACTGACATCAGTTGATCGGGCAAACCTAGTGGTCATGAGGATAAATACTCAACGATGAGATTGGGTGGTGGTCACGCTATATCGTGAACTGACAGGACTTGGTAATATAGGCTACTGGATTCTGATCCAGTGGCTCAATTGTAACGTACTGACCATTGAGCCTGAGGGTCATGAGTTTGACTCCTGGCAGGGTAGTGGATGCGCACTGCTGAGGAGTCTTATATCAGCGGGAAGAAACAGCTGTCCAGTGCCCCCAGGCTCTAAATGTTTCTCTAACTGTATCAGTCAATGATGAGTACCAACTTGAAAAATCGATAAGCTCCCCAAAACCCCCGAATTCGATGGTTCTTTAGCAAATAAAAATAATCCCTAAGAAACTACTACACACGTCGAATTAGAAAGTATATTTAAGCTTATTACCAACGAAAGCACATTAAGGAAAGTTTATCAATAAAAAATAACAGCTATACTCGAAACAAACCACATTTAAAAGTGACCGAAACCTGCGAATTCTCAGTGCAAGGTAAAAGAATTAAGTTGAACTAATGTTCACTGGAAAATTGGACGTCAGAGAAACAGCTGTGTGTATCACAACACAACCTTGTAACAGGACAGATATCAATAAGCTAGAATGTTACGAACGTATGTTATGAACGAATTATTATTTTAACGGGATGAAAAAATTGTCTAAAGCAATATTATGAAAGAATATATTTCATACTACTTAACAATAGTAAGTAGTATGAATAGAAAAACATAAAAAGACTACAAGGGAAGTTTGAAAAAATTTAGTTAATTGTTATGTTACTTGTCGAAAATTTCATATGACTGAAGTTTTCGGTGGTGAACATTATATTCTAACTCATTGGCTGAGGATTTCACTGAGTATTGTGAAACCTCAGAGTTTTTAAATAGATTCTGTAAGTGGTTGACAGTTGACCAAAGTAGGACAAATTATTGATATACAGGGGTGAATTGCTCAACATCTTTTGGCAGATGGACTTCTATGCGGATGCCTTGATACTGCCAGATATTGATGGTGTATTATCTTGATCTTGATGGCTAGCAGAGGAATCTAGATTGTACGTTTCTTTCCTAGATTTCTCTGCTTGTCACGAAGATCAGTGTAGGACAAATTAGTTGTCTGATTCGATTGCATAACAGTTTTCTCTTAGAATGACAACATAATCATTTGTATTGTGCATTTTTCGTGTTCCATCTCTTCCCTCTGTAATCTTTACTTTATTTTTCAGCATATAATCCTACCGATCGCTCATTTGTACTACTCAAATTGGTTAACTCAATGTTTATTACGTTTCCAGTTGACATACTCTTAGTAAATATGGAGATATTTTTCCGCTAACAAATAGAAAATTTGTATAAGATTCAGATCTGAGAATAAAAAAACAACAACAAGAAATCGATTTCTTCTTACAACAGTTTGAAATATAAGGTACTAATATGCGTATAATTTTACAAGTGCCTGTTTAAATTTGCACGAGACTTTTAATTGGTTGTATAGGTTTTACTTGTATTGAAACATTGAACAAATAGAATAATTTCTTTGTGTAATTTATTTGATAATTTTTACAGTATCAAAAATACAATCATAAAATGATTTTATGGAAAAAAATTAAAACTTTTTAAATATCAGATTGTTGAATTAGAGATTTGTTTTCTGTTCGAGGATTATTGTGAATCAAAGATTGGTGACTATTTTTTCTTAAATTGTTTACGTAGATTCTTGGGATTAGTTTGGTGGTCGTATTGGTCAATAATCAATAGAATTCGGTCAGTATTTAGGATTAGACAACATAAAATTAGGTGCCCTCTAGAGACTAATCAATTTAGTAATATATATTGTCTAGAAAAGGCCTTTGACAGCGTCGTCCGAGAAGTAATTTGGCAGTTGCTTCAACGCTACGGTTTTACTGTCACAAACCTTTGTCAACCTCATTCAACAGTTATATGAAGACGCCACATGCCAAGTAGATCACAATGGGAAGCTTAGTGATGCCTTAGAAGTGAAGACAAGTGATAGAAGTAAGACAAGGCTGTCTACTATCACCCCTGATCTTCCTTATTGTGGTGCGCTGGATCATGCAGCAAACCGTGAGGAGCGAGAAGAGGGGGATATGCTGTTTGGCCAGTGAAAAGATCCTAGAAGATATGGATTTCGCCAACGATGACTTATGTCTAATGATACACAAACTCGAAGATCTACAGGCAAAAACTAACAAGTTGACAGAAGAGGCATGGCAGGATAGCGAAGACGGGACTTCAAGTGAACGTAGAGAAAACAGAGGTGATGATGAAACCTAACCAACGCCACCACCGCCAACAAGCACTAATCACCATCAATGGGAGAAATATAAAGGAAGTAGTCTCTTTCATCTACATACCTAGCCAGCATCGTTTCAACTACAGGTGGCACAGGTATAGTTGAGGATGTCAAAACCAAGATCGGATAAGCAAGACAGGCGTTCGTTAGCCAGAAACCAGTGTAGAAATCTACTGCACTCCACTCAGAACAAAGAACAAGATCCAGATTTTCAACACCAAGTCAGTCAAGTTAGTGCTGCTTTTCGGTTCAGAAACTTGATGAGTTACGAAGAGGATTTCCAACAAACTACAGACATTCATCAACAACTGCCTACGCTCGTTACTGAAGATCAGATGACCAGAATAATAAGAATAAACAACAAGAAACTCTGACTGGTATAGAACCAACCAAGAACCTATCGCCCAACAAATATGCGGACGAAAGTGGAAGTGGAGATGGATTGGGCATACACTGAGAAGTACGACTGGGGACATCACGCTTCAGGCCAGCCACTCAAGTAGAGCCGAAATGCGAAAGGACGAGTTGGGTGCCCGATGTGAGGGTGACATGGAGGAGATCGTGCGAGGAAGAAATGAGAGCTACTGGGCTGTCGTGGAGCCAGGTTCAAATGTTTGCAGAGAAGAGAGTGGAATGAAGGCGTGCTACTGAAGCCGTATGTTCCACTAGGAACCCAAGGGACAAGTAAAATAATAAAATATAAGTAATAGAAATGGTGAAGAATATTTGTAGTTGGCGGTGTTGTTGTTCAGACTGAGTTGTTTACTGAGGTCGCGTTTCGACTGACACAAAGAAGCGCTGGTGCTCTATGCGGTTCACCATCATGATGCACTTTTGATGGATGTTAGTTGATTGGAGGTAATCGGTAGGAAGTCTTGGACGTAATCCACTCCTACATAATATCCACCGTTGTTTGAACAGCTTAATGGTAACATGGCTAATTACAGCACTGGGTGATGACGGTTTGAATCGCAGATAGGAGTTGAAGATACGCCTCGCCGACGAATGACAACAACACAGTGTGACCTAGGCGGAGGATGACTTCATACCAGATACATTCAACCATCTAACAACAGTATACATCTTCAGATCTATCCTCACTTCTCTGTTTCTCTAGTAAAAACGTTCCTTATGATGACCCAATTAGTGTTATCCTCATCACTAATCAACTACCAATCATCACATTCAAAATGTACGCCGTGATGCGTTATCGTTGACTGCCGTACCAAATAATGCAGATAGGTATATTGAGTGGAATTACGTTCCCATGGGACTATAACAATAAACACTTTGTTGACAAGTGCTATCAAAGATGGGGTTGATTGTTTCTTGTTGATAATATCCAACCATGTTAACGTTTGAACCAACAAACTGAATAAACAACTACGGTGTCGTATAACAGAAGGAGATAGTTACCCATTGCTGACTAATTTTCAGTTACTTTTTAAACTCAAAGCAGCTTGTGTTGAGAATAATATTCGGCTGTATTGTGGGAAAAACTGGTTGGAATTCATTGGTTATGGGGAGTCGGCAGCAAAGCGTGTCTGAGGTTTAGAGGGATCTAGATTCAATTTACCAAGAGATGTAGTCAAAAATATTATTACTGACCTACTGCGGGTACGATCAAGATGCAGTGATGGATGTGTTACTGTAGCTTAATTACTAACCACTTTCGATCAGCCAATTTTTACGGTGTTGTCACCGAGTTAAGCGACTTTTCATGAAGATACAATATGGTTGATATTCCTTCGATGTCATGGATACTTCTTGTTGATGAAAACCAACAGTCGTTTAACCTGAACCTAAAACTTTCTATTGACTGAGTTCAAAGGCTTAACATCAATGAGAGTCTACTGCAATGAGTAGTCTCTTAACTTAGTGACTTTACTTTAAGCCTGATCGATAGAAATTAGCGAACACTTTGAACCAGACACTATAATAAGTCAAGTGAACTTCTTCTTGTGTGGAATTCATTTCGAGGGTTTGTAAAGTGTATGGTTTCAAATTGGTATTCATCACGAGGTCATAGGTGCATAAAACTGAGGTGACACATAAAAGGACGAAACGAGTGTTCAGTGCTCCCAGGTCCTCACTGGTTCTTTAACTAATATCAGTCCATCATGAAAAGTTTTCTAGACTGTTATTATTATTGTTACTATTTGTCCCCTAGGTTCCCAGTGGAACATAGGGCTTCAGTAGCAAGTCACTATTTCACTCTCTTCTCCACAGTCTTCTTTACAATCTGGCTCCACCACACCCAACAAACTTTCATTTCTTCCTCACACCATCTCCTCCACGTCACCCTCCCCTCGGACACCCAACTCATCCTTTCTCATCTAGCTTCCACTCGACAACCTCACCTGGCATGACGCGTGATGTCCCCAAACCGTCCTCTCAATCTACATCCAATCCAATCCATCTCCACTTCCTTCTGCGTATTTGTTGGGCGATAGCTTCTTGGTTAGTTCGCTGCCAACCAGAGTTCCTTCTTGCTCATTGTTATTATTCTAGCCATCTCATCGATCTTCAGGGTCGAGTGAGAGTAGGTGACAGCTGTTGATGTGGTATATGTCTGTAGTTTGTTGGAAATGCTTTCAGTAAGGTGTTAAGTCTCTCAACCATCACATAGAAGTACTGACTTGAGTGACATTAGTGTTGAGAATCTGAATGTTGTTCATGCTTTATGCTGAATGCAATGTGGTGGATCTCCACACTGACTATTTCAGATTATTGAAGGAAGGCCTGTCTTGCCGTCTTTTCAATCGTGGCTTTGGCATGCTCAACTGTACCTGTGCCACCTTTAGTCGAAACGATGCTGGCTAGGTATGTAAGTGAAAGAGACTACTTCCTTCACATTTCTCCCATTGATAGTGATTAGTGCTTGTTGTTGGTAGTGGCGTTGATTGGGTATCTTCATCATCTCTGTCTTCTCTACCTTCATCTGAAGGAAGTCTCGTCTTCACTGTCCTACCCTGCCTCTTCTACCAACTTGTCAGGTTTCGCCTATAGATCTTCGAGTTTGGGCTACAAGACATGAGATATGAATCATCATCGACGAAATCCAAATCCTCTTCTAAAGTCTTTCCATCGGTCCGGCCAGCGTACACTTATCTTCTCGCTCCTGACAGTTGTTTGTTACATGATCCAGTTCAGTTGAGCCGACCACAATCAGGAAGACAGTTGGAGATAGTAGACAGCCTTGTCTTACTCCTATCTTCACTTCAAAGGCATCAGTGGGCTGAGCTCTACATTTTGAATCTCTTTGCATGTAGCATCCTCATATAACTGTGGACGAAATATTCTTCCTGAATTCCAGTCTCAGCCACCACCAAGTAAATATACGAATTACTTATGCCACACTCCCTTTATTTTAGTTAGATCATTTTTCAAATGATGACGTAACTACTTCTACATATATCTAACCTTGCCTCATTCATTTATGAATACTCATCATCTTGCCTCACATAACGATTGTCTAGTTTGTCGTCACTTGATTGAAGACTACTGGCTGGAAACTTTGATTGACCCACGTTTTATGCTTGTTTATACTTAACAGTAAGATGCATCTGCAGCTTTAAGATTTAAACCTGTCACCAAGTGCTGCAGTCAGAGACATTGACACTAGGCTATTCTGATCCTATCTGACCTCTTAAAGGATTGTAATACATGCATTATCTAGTCACTGGAGAATTTCCCTTTCTTCAAAATATTAACCACAGTGATGTTTAACTTATTTATCCAGGTCATTTGAGACCGATGAAAACCCTATGAAATAAAATGATTTAACCTTTTGAAGTTATAGATCACGAAATCCCGTCTTGATTATAAGTTACAGATAAGTATGCATGCTTGATTTATTTAAAAATTCGTATAGCGTCTTATATAATGGATGGCTTAATTGAATAAGCATTTTATTTGAATATGATGAAAAACTGAATGCAAAACTTTCAAAAAAATGAGAAGTGAACACTTCAGAAAGCTTACGTATTGTTAGGAAGTTTCTTTTTGAAACAATGGAGAATATTTGTAGCTCCGATGGAAGGTCTTGACTGCATTTTGTTCTCTGAGTTGGGTTGTTTAATCATACTTCATACTGAAGTTAGTGCTGATGATGTCGTCCAGAAAGACGGTGAAAGCTTCACGATTAAACAACCCAGCTCAGAGAACACAATACAACGAAGACCATCCACCTGAGCTAGAAGTATTCTCCATTTTGTTTCAAAATCATACGGGCGTGACACACTTCACGTTGTTTGAAGATGGGAAGACTTCTCTAAAAGGCAAGCTTCTACAAAAGAACAACTATTCTTTAC